CRTGTTATTCAAGTTAAGTTGTAGGCCTGGAAAGTCTACCTAGGTATCCAGAAAATCACCTAGGGAGGGACAAAAGTTTTATTACAACCAAACTGAAGGCATAATGTACCCCCCTCACTTCTTTCATAAAGTAACTGGGTCACAATAAATTGTGTGTATTATTCTTGAATTTTGTGAAACCATAACATCAAATGTTTCCYTTTTTGTCACAGCATAATTTGAATCATTTGCACAAGAGGTGAGTTCAAGATCATGTATTTGTCAGACTAATTTTATTTTTCACTTCAGCTTGCTGTTTTAGTCTTTAAATGTGAAGCAATATCTTAGAGAAGGGCAGCAGTCCAAAATATACTTGAAAAGAACTGGCATTAGTTCTGACTTCATCCTATCTGTTGAACAAACATAAGTTCATTCATCCTTGAACCTAGAAACTGGATGKGGTCTAGAACAAAACAGAAAAAGCATGTTTTAGTAATTCTGCTGCCACAGGATTCAAGATCTGCCTGCCTAGCCRGGATCAGGAGCTTATGCCAAACAGTGGAAATTATGAAAGACTTTCAGTTGTGAGCAAGAAGCTTACAATAAACAATGGAGAAAAAAAAATCCAAGAGGAAATGTAAAATAACCCARCACATCCTTGGGTTAGCTGGTGGACAACAGAAGTGGAGAACAAACACTAAAATTCAAGCCAGGAATACRATATCCACCACATCCTTCCTTTTCTTTCACAGCTGTCCCCTCCCCCCTCATCAGATTACAAGAATAATGCTTTATTTAAGACCACATCCTTTTCTGAGGGCTTTTTGAAATGTGCAATGTGCACCACAGTTTCCCAGTCAATCTGTGCTATTGAATCAAAAACTTTTTTTTCTCCTGCCCTCACTAGTATTTCAAGCTAGTGATGAAAGTGGAAACTAATAAAATACCTTTAAATTTTCAGACTCCTCAAAGTAGAGGAGCTATGAAAAGTATTCATTAAGCTCTGAGAACTTAAAGCTAACTGATTTGTTATCAGTAATATCCTATAATCCTTAGTCCTCTTATTTCTGTAGGAACCACAAATAGCAATTTTTACATCCCAGTTGGCTGAAAATAGAGRCTGATCATGCACTAAAAGCATACTCAAAATGGGGAAACTGGGTAGAAGAGTTTAAATCTAATATCTGTACATACAACAGGAAAATCATGCAACAAATTCATCTATTACCTAAAGATCCACAAGCAATTTTTAATTACTTWTGCTAACTATTAGCACTAAACTTACATGATGCATTGAAAATGCAATACATTGCTCATATTTCTAACTAGCTGTTGCTGTCTGTATTTCAGGTATTAATGAAAACATGAATCTGACAATTTCAGATATGGGCACTGACAAAAAGGGGGAAAATGCCCATGTTGAACCATTAACTGCTTGTCTCCTCTCTTAGGTTTGCAGCACCCTTATTGCTATGGTGGGCTGGCTGCATGTGACAGCAAGTGCAAAGCCTTGCTCACACCTTGTTAAGCACCTGCCAGAAGAAGAAAAAACATCTGTCAGTATCCTGTGCTAGTTTCTGTTTTCTTTTTTATGTTTTCTTCCTTGGATTTCCCTCCAGTGATGACACTCTTCAGCGTGAAATCTGGGACAAAGAAATACCTTACAAAGTGCATCAAATAGCCTTCCTTGAATCTTTTAGCCCAGTGACAACCAAAAATATATAAGAGATGTATTAGATAAACCTCTTTCATCAGCCAGAAAAGTAGCACCAAATATATWATTTTTCAAATTGTCATGTTTCTTGACAATTACAGGTATTATATGCTGTTTTGACTSAAAAATTATCTTGTGACCTTAGACTGAGTTGGAATTTAAATTTTCTAAATTTCTTTAAGGACTTCTGTTGCAGTTATTTTGCTCATAGAAAGCAATCTGTAGTAGCAATATCTGCTATATCAGCAGAAGACTTGTGGGCCAAAGTTATCCAAAAGGTTGCAAACTGATTCCTACCTTCTGACTGACAAATAAGACAGTCTTTACAGTCTACTTTGCTAAAAGAGAAAACACTGTACTCGACACCAGTTGCTCCATCAAATGCAATTTGAATAGTATGACATGGTCCAAAGATGTCCCATGTTATGGCTAACTTACAGCCATGATTTATTTTGGAGCTTCACAGTAATTTTTTTGTTATTGTCTTTTCCATTTCAGAGAGCAGGCATGTTCACAGACTGCCATGCTTTGAGAAGAAATTATACATTTGACAGCTACACACAGACACAAATTGGTTCTCTCAAAGTTGGACCAAACGCTTGACAAAACCCCATAATATAAAATTCAGAATTATCTGAAGATACTGATGTGCACCACTGATGCATTAGCTGCTCTTCCTATCTACACGTTAAATAAAGCAATTTGGTGCTGTGGTGTTATGGCTAAAGCCTCTCACACTTAACAGGCAAATGCCTTTAGTTCATACTTGGTGTGAAAAGCCTGTACAGCTGCAGCCACACTGAACCCAAGTTATAATATTCAATATCCATCTGAAACTTTTCACTTCAGTAAGCGCAGGTCGAGAGAGGTGCTTTAGGTACCCCACAAAGTAGCCTACTCTAATTCTAGCACAACTTTGAATTTACTAATTACTTCACATGTGTTGAAGAAGACTCAATTAAAATTCGGCACTGTATTTTAAGTTCCCAGAAAGAGTATAAAGACAGCACATTTACTTGGTTTTTTTATTGGGATTAAGTTTTATTTTGTCAATTTCAGTTTGGTTTGGTAACAGCTGGAGGGGGAAAAAAAGGGAAAAAAAACCTCCTTCCTTTATGTCTCAGTTTTATCTGATTTTTGATGTATARTCAACCAACTTTTCTTCAATTCAGTATCCAGGGCTTGTCATGAAATACTGTTGGTTTTTTAATTCTTTCTTGGAAATCACTTTTTGAAAGAATCACTAGGAAAGATTGCTAAATTATGTAGTATTTTGAAAAAAATGACACTGTATTATTTTCATGAAAAATTGTGTTAATCACAGCAGCAACTGCAGACAGCTATTCTTTCTTTTTCAGCCTCTTCTAGTGTCATTAAACCATGACATTTTCAGGACTGTGGCACTTTGCAAGTTGCATGGTTCTGCCCACTCTGTTCAGAACAGTCCCAGAAGGTACTAGACAAGAATTTTGAAAGAGTTTTTCTCTGACACAGCTGACCGTACACTGTAATGAATCCTGATAACCATTCTTCTCCATCCTGAGGAAAACCTGTTTGATTTTCAGTCAACCTCAGGCATTCAGGAGAAAGAGGGTGTGTCCATGATTCTGTCACCTCCTTCAGTTGAGTCAGTGGCAATACCTTTTTATAGTGCTTTAAAAAGTCAGTGCTGTAGTGGCTGTATCATTCTTCCCATTAGCAAACCTTTGCTTTTTTTCCTGTGGTTACTTCTCTCCTGCCTTTGAGCAGCATGGTAGAAGTTCAGTGACATTTCCACAAGGACAACCCCTTCTTCATTTGCCTCATCCTCTAAACTTGGGACAAAAGGGAAACTCCAATTGCTCCCATTGAAGCACCACTGGAAAGCACCTGGATAGGTATATCACTCACAGGAGTTCAGATTCAGGACTTGGCACCACCAGCAAATTACTCTGCCCCTCCTGTACACCACCTTCACAGTGACCCCGCATTTCTCAGCACAGCTGTGACACATGCTCTGTATCCATAGCACAGCCAGGGATCTTCCCCTACCTTGGCTGTAGTGCAGAGTTAAACAGGGAAATCCCAGTCAGTCCTTATAGCTCTCCCTGCAGATGTGCATCACCTGGTCTAGCTCACCTTCACACAGAGGCTGATGAGATGTAGGGAAAACCTCCTGAATGCCTTGTCCCTGAAGCTTCAGAGCAATCAGACTGCTGTTTCCCTTACTAGTTCAGGAAGTTGATGCCAGAAATCTTGTTAGGCAGGAAAAAAAGGGTTCAGTGTTCTCTGGACTATATGTTTGCCTAAAAAAATTGTGAGAAATCAACCTGGCTGAAGGGGCTTATCATAGCATTTTCAGGGGATTCCAGTCAAAATGCAAGCTAAATTATAGGAACTGTTTAGACAGAGCAGCACTTTGGCAGCTCAAAATTTTCTCAAAGACACTATGCTAAAAGCTATAATAACTATTCAATCAAAGCCATTCTAACTTGTTCTTTAATTCTGGCAGAAGGAACACAGTCAATTTTCCTGAGTGAAATTCAGTCACTTTTTTTTTCCAATTTTGCAGCTGAGGTCAGATTTGTGTCCAGACAAAGAGTTGCACAGGCCAGAGGAGCTGGATTAAAGGACCATTACCAAAATGATAGAGAAAACAGATGATTCCAAAAGCAGCCARACTTTTTTGTCTGATTTTCTTATCCTTCAGTTCCACTGATGATTCATCTTCGAGTTTTTCCATAATGGTATCTTAACAAGTATTTTACAGATCAATAGTGAATATCAGAAGGATATTCAGTAACATTCTTGCAAGTGATGTGTAACATTTCTCTTGTTCACATGCATTCTGGTAATGTACTAAGGAACTTTGAAATGTTTTCAAATATTTGTACAAGTCATTATTTTTATGAAAAGTTATCATAGAGTCATAGAATGTTTTGGGTCAGAAAAGATMGTAAAAGATCATCTAAGTTATAACCTTTATCCCAAATTAGAGAGCTCCCGAGCTCATGTCTCATTTATCTTGACTTCAAAAAGTAATCTTAGTCGCCTTTGTCCAATGCCCGCGGAAAGTGACACTTCCGACAACAGAGCTCTTTCTTGCGTCAGCCACGCGGCGGAGGAGGCGGCTGTGCTGCTCACCGCAGTTTTCCCGCWATTATTTGGGGACGCTCCTCCTCCGCCCGGCGCAGCGCGGGGGCCGGGGCCAGGGGCCACTCGCGGCTCCCCCGGGGCTCCCCCGGGCCGGCAGCCGGAGCCCCTCCCGGGGCTGTGCATTTGCTTTCTTCCCGGGCAGCATCRCCGGCGGCGGGGCAGCCGCACGCCGCATGCCGGCCGCTGAATGACAACAGTCAGCGTCCCGGGAAAAAATTATGCAACCCCCGCTGTAAGCGAGCGCCCCGAGCACGGCCCCGGCGGGCGGGGCGGGGGTGGGGGCGGAGCCGCCCTGTCTGGCCCTGGTCCCGTCCCCGGCCCCGACCCTGACCCCGTCCCGGGCAGGCGGGCGGGGCGGAGGAGGGGCCCGGGCCGGCCCGGCGGGCGGAGCGGAGCGGAGCGGGCGCGCTCCGGAAGAGGGAAGGAGCGGAGCGGCGGCTCGGGCGGCAGCGGGATGGCAGTGCGGGGYTCAGCGGGGGACGCCGCGCTCTGCCGAGCGGCTGAGCAGTGGCTGCTCTGGGATAAGGTGAGGGGCGGCGGCTCCGGCCAGGCGGGGGCTGGGTGAGGGGCGACGGGGCGCAGGCTGGAGCGGGGTCAGGAGGCGCGGGGTGACGCTCGGCTGTTGCATTGTGCCGGTTTGGGGTGCGGTGTAAAGGCACTCGTTTGCTCCTTTGGCTCTGCTTTCAGAGCTCTCTGACAAAGGGGTGCTCTCCCTCCACCGTTCCATCCATCCCCTCCCGCCCCGTGGCGGGGCCGGAGCAGGTGGGGCTGCGGGGCCGGCTGCTGCCGCCCGCCCGGTGCCGCGGCTCCGTCACCTGCCGCAGCCGCCGCCGCTTTCGTTTAGAACCCCCCCGGCTGGTGTCAGTCTGGCTTTCAGCTGKACTGAATGGGTTTTACAAAAGGGCCTGTATTCTTCCGAACCGCTTCAGTCGCAGGACAGTTGATAGACTTAAAGACCAGCTAGCATACATTGCTTGTATGTGTGTTACCGGTGTTACCTGTCTCTCAGTGTTAAAAACCACCTGCTATCTCCAAATTTTTGTTTACTAAAATATTGATTCCAAAAGACATGTGGGCTTACTTCAAAAACACTAGTAAATGCAGAGGCTGTCAGTCCTGCGTTTTTCTGATGTAACCCAGTGCTTAGTGATCTTTACTAAGTTAGTAAGGAYAGCTCCTTGTTAGTAAAATAGCTTCTGACTCTTCAATATTGTCTGGGTTTGTGTTTTTTCTCCTTTTCTGCTATTGCTTAGGAATATTTTAGCATGTGTTATTTCCCTTCCTGTTGAGACTCTTATTTGTCTTCAGATTTAGTCTTGACAGCACTATATGCAGAAGTAAAATCTTTTATGCATTTCTGTTTCCCACATATCTAAAGGAACATCTTGCCATAGTGGTGTTCTGRAAATGGTCGTGTAGTTGCTTGCTGCTGCAGTTCCCACTGAGATGCAGGCCTCTATTGGCATATTTGGTTAGCATTTTTTATGTCCCTATTCATAATTTGTTCATTTGGCTGTATTGGAAGATACTGGCTGTTGCCCCTCTTCAGTCACTAAAGTAACTCCCCTGGGCTCAGCACTCTACAATGCTCTCTGAGTTTTGTGCAGCACATATACCTGTTTGGTAAGGCACCTTCAGCTTGTTTTACAAATATCGTGGAAACATATAATAGCTCTTTTTTTAATATTCTTTCCAGGCTCTGAAGGGCATCATTAGAAGTATCTCAGTCTTGTTGCCATTCTTCATTAAAGATCATTCAGCTGCTTAACTGACCACTTACCCAGCTCTGGTTTTATTAATGATAGAGCAGTGCCAAGCTAGTCCTCTTTTCAGAAATTCGAATGCATGACATGAAATGACAATAAATTTTTGTGGGTTTTTTTTTTTTTYCCCAGTTTAATTGATTTTGAGAAAACTGTTYGGTTTTAAAGAGCCTCTTACTTGCATAACTACCCTGATGAGCATTAGTTATTTTCCTATATTCTGTGTAATAATTTACTTTTCAGCTGGTTATTCTGATTATTCTGTTAAATCCTCTGGAAATCTAATGCAGTATTCCTTACAGCATCTTTACTTTTGGAAGTTTAGTCCTCTGCTAACACTTGTGTTTTTGTAATAATTGACTGGTGTGCAATACCCATTGCTGATTGCTCAAAAAGGATGAGGTATTTTAATTTCTCAGGGAGCTGTTACATGTTTGTATTGAGCAACAGAAGAATCAGATATAACCCTTGTCCATTTACTCTGATATAAAAAAATAGGTTCCTTTTTGACATACAGAGGTTAATATTTAATGATGATAAGCCACATGTTTCTTAGAAAATAATCGTTTGCAAGAGCAAGCCCTTATGGCTGATGGCAGTCCTTCTGCCCTAACTGGGCACTTCTACCTAGATGACAATTACTRTTCTTGTTACCAGGTTGTTTACATCACTCTATTCTTTAATAGCATATTTTTCATTTTTTCTGTTATCAGTGATAAAATTATGAATGGAAGGTAGCTTCTGGTTTTAGTAAAAATAAAGTCTGTTTAGTCAGATGTTCTTCCTCTACTCTAAAACCTGTGGGGGACTCCTTTACTGATGATACCTCTTTGGGCCTTCCTGTAGTGTAGATTAAAGTAAATAATTCGAGTGTTACCAGGTGATGTTCAAGCTAATTGCACTAGTGGGTATTAACWCGGTATTAAATCACCTGCCACTGTATTCACAGAAAATGGCACTCCCATACTCACATCTGGTTTAACTTGAGAGTAGAAGAAGCGTAACCTGAGAGAATCCATATGAGAGGAAAAAACAACATTTCATCCTTCAGTTACAATGTGATCCTTCTTTGGCAGAGATGCTGTGAAGAGTTTGTTTTAGTAGAAGAAAAAGCCAAGATTAGTTTTTCACTTAGATGTTTAAAATGGCATCATAACATTCACAA